CACACACACACACACACACACACACACACACACACACACACACACACACACACACACACACGTGCAGTACGTATATTTCCATGTCCTGGCGGAAAATTCATTCAATTTTGCTCATCTATCACTTGCATTTTTCCGTTCCTGCTTCTTACTTTAGTATCCATGAAGTCTATAGATACAGAGTCTCCAGGGCCTGTAGGGATAGGCAAGGGCTTAAGTAACCCAAGGGGAGATTGTGTGGTGCTTTTGTTTCTTTGGCACACTTGACAACCTTGCACATACGCGATACAGTCTGCTTTCATGCGAGGCCAGGTGTAGGAACGTAGCGAAGTCCCATAGGTCTTCTTCCATCCAAAATGGCCTTCGGTATCATGGCATTCCCCCAAGATCAAACTCTTGATCTCTTCATTATTCGATATGCATAGCCTATCATTTACATCAGTTCTTTCAAACAATAGACCCTGAGTAATCTTGTGAACAGAAAACTCTGTTGGTGTTTCTTGTACACGCTTAATCATCATTCCATAGATAGGATCAGAGGGATACGCATTCCTAATCTTCTCTTGTAGATCGGCACCAACATCTAAATATGTCACAATGACACCGAAAAAGTCAGATCTACGACTTAGTGCATCAGCAACGACATTATACTTGCCCTTTACTGGCTTTAGCTCAAAGTCAAACAGATCAATCTCCGCAGCCCACCTTGTTAACTTAGGTGTCATTCGAGCTTGCGTTTTGAGCCAGCGAAGTGTCAGAGTATACCTTAAAATGCCTTCCCCAGAAGATAGTGTCGCCAATGATTGCGAGCCTCACGAAGAGCATACAACTCTCTTTCATACGTCGAAGCGGCCATTTTCTCGTTAGGCAACCGGCAAGACAAACTCCACAGGTCTGTATCCATGTCCATCGTCTTGCTGGAGTACAGCACCTATACCATATTGACTAGCATCGGTCGTCACCACGAAAGGTAATGAAGGGTCTGCCACTTTCAAAACCGGGTAGTTGATCAAACACTTCTTCAGACGCTTAAACGACATCGTGCAGTCTGAATCCCACTTCCAAATTACTTCTTTCTTGAGCAACTTGCGAAGGGGAGCAACTATTATCGTAAAGTGTCTCACAAACTTTCGATAATAGTTGGCTAACCCAAGGAACGACCGCAACTCAGTCAAAGTGCGGGGGTTCGGCCAATCTCCGATTGCTGCTATTTTTGCATCTTCCAGTTAGACCCCATCTCCATCAATCACACGTCCCAAATATAGAACCTGACGATTGGCCCATTCACACTTCTTTGGGTTTAACTTGAGTTTTGCTTCTCGTAACTTATTTAGCACAAGTCGAAGGTGCTCAATATGCTCTTTCTCATCTTTACTAAAAATTAGAATGTCATCTAGATAAATAACAACTAATTTGTCAAGCCATTCACAAAAAAGTTCGTTCATCGTTCTTTGGAAAGTGGCAGGGGCATTGGTTAGACCAAAGGGCAAAAATATGAACTCATAGTGCCCATACCTTGTCCTAAAGGCAGTCTTATGTTGGTCTTCCGGCTCAACCTCAATCTGATGGTAGCCGGATTTCAAATCAATCTTTGAAAATATCTTGCAACCCTGCACGCGATCCAGCAAATCATCTATTCGTGGTAATGGTTCAGCATTCTTCACTGTTATATCATTTAATCTCCTATAGTCTATACACATGCGAACGCCGCGATCTTTCTTGGGTACAAAGAGTACAGGCGCACCATAGGGTGAGGAACTAGGTCTTATCCATCCATTTTTCATCAACTCATCGAGTTGGGTTCGCAATTCATCAAATTCTTGGGGCGACATACGATAGATAGGCCACTTAGGAGGTGAACTCCCTGGAATAATATCAATGCGGTGCTTGACTGGTCTTTCTACCACACCACTTGGGGCTTCAGTCACATCTGCGAACTCTTTTAGTATTCTTTCAACTTCTTGGGATCTAACCTCTTCCTTACCTTCCCCTTCTTTTACTGGGCGCACATATGCAACAAAGACTTGATCATACAAGTTATATTTCCTTACATGGCGAGCGGACGCTGGGGCACTCATGCAGCAATGAGCGAGGCTGCTTTCCTTTCCAGACTCATGATATAGTCGAATTTTCTTTTTACCTCCTTGCGGACTTGGGAGCCAACATTCATGTTCCCTCAACTTTAAATCCGCATTAGCAGCTTCTACCCAATCCATACCTAACAACACATCAAAGGGCAAGTTATCCTCCACCAAGAAGGTTAGAGAGTGGAGAACACGTTCCACCTTCCCCTCTGCCTCTGGCCAAAAGTATACTTGAACTCCCTCGACGTATCGATCTATAACAACTTCAGTACTATTAGCCAACTTACTTACAATGGGCTCATTCAATCTTTTAACCTTAAGCCCAAGACGCAGTTTCTGCAACCCTTTCTTACTAATATAACTGCGTGTAGAACCACTGTCTACCATACCTCCTACTCTTATTCTATTTATTTCAAGATCTGCAATTATTAGCTGTCTTTTCTTCTTCCTCATTTCAGTCCAGGCTTGGCGACGAGCGGCCAACTCATCACCCACGCAAGCGAGGGATCCATCTAGAGAGATGCATACGTTCGCCACCTCTGGACAGTGTACTAGATGGGGACTGTCTTCCTCTTCACTTTCTGCCATTGGAGCCTTCGAATGGGAGGATTCTGATTTTTCAACATTCAAAGCCCCGGTAGAGGCAACTAAGACCTCTACTGGATGTTCCCTTTTGCTCCCCTATAGTCGGGGCAATAGGGTACAATGTGGTCGGGGTCCCCACATTTGGTCGGCGACTTTTTTTTCTTGCCACACTTTTTCTGTGATTCCCAACTTCTTCCACGGCTCCCCTTCGGGTAGGCCCGGATGTGGTGGGTATGGTTTATCCCACTTGTTATACCACGTGCCTCTTCCTCTACCCCAGGTGGAGTAAGTACCACGGCCACCTTGCGAGGGACCATTTCCCCTTCCTCCCACGTAGTGGCTTCCTTCACCACCACCCCTCTGGGTGCCGTATCCTCGTCCACCACGGTCGCGACCTCCTCTTCCTCGGCCACGCCCTCTTCCTTGACGCCCTCCCCCGCAGGCTACAACGGCCGCGTAACTCCCCTCCTGAGCTACCGGTCCGCTGAGTTCATCGATACCATAATCTACCTGATCCCAGGAAATGGACTCGACGCCTCCTTCTTCAAAGGTTAGAAGGAGACTATCCTTCCCAGGTATAGACCCTGAGATAGTGCGGTTTTGCCACTTCTTACCCGCTTGCAGATCTTTCCAATAGTGGCAATAGTTTGCTTCGGCGAGGAAGCCAGCATGATCTATCGCGATCTTGCCGAACTTCTCGTATGTCATTCCTTCTTCCTTGACACGGGGATGAAGTTGTGTTCTCAAGGGATCAGGAAGTGCTCGTGCAAAACTATTCAAAATCTGGGCAGGTGTCAGTCCATGGTCAGGGCATTGCAACAATTCATCCATAGTTGCTTTCAAGGCAGACGTGTTTTTCCATTTCCTATCAGGGAGGTTGAGGATTAGCATTTTCGTACGACGTGCTAAGTTTTTATCCTCAAACCTTTCTCTAACTGCTTTAAGGAAATCTTCAATTCGAGCTTGTTGTGAGAATTCAACCATTGAGTTGCACCCCGCCTCTTTCTGTAGCGAGATTGCGAAGCTCATGGCATCGCCTCCCATGCACGAACTAGCCATCAGCACCCTGTCCCAATATGGGATTCGCTGCCCGTATACATACGACTCTATTGTCGCTGCCCAATGCAAAACACTTTCTTCTTTCTTCCCATTATAGGTCCATGGCAGTTTGAGTTTAATCTTACTAACCTGCCCTACTTCCTGTTGAAGTTTTCCCTTCGAATCTCCAACTCTTTTCCCCTTTTTGTCATCATCACCGTCGTCATCACCATCTCCTCCTCCGCCTCCAGCTCCTTTGACAATCTTTTCTAAACTTTGGGAGTGAAAGTCTTGGTGACATGTTCATCCAAGGCCCTGATGTAGGTCAGGATGTGTTGGTCCACATCCTTTGCTGATTTCTCTAAGAAGTTATTCCAGACAGATTCAAACTCAGTCCGATGGGTTTCTACCCTTTGTAACGTCTGATGCATCAAGGCAATGTCCTGCCTTGTGTTGAGGACGGCCTCTCTGAGGAGAGCAAGTTGTTCTTCTGTTGTAGAGGGTTTATCCTTTTGAGCTTCTAATGCCTTCTGCAATTTTGCCCCCTCTGCCTGCAGCCTCTTTTTTTCTTCCAATTCTCGCCTTTTGGCTGCTAACAACTTATTATTCAACTCAACCCTCTTCTCCTCCAGCATCAAGTTTCGTTCGACTGTGTCGGTGATAGTGGCCAACTTTGCGAGGAACACATCTCGTTCCTCTTCAGACTCCCTTAACGGTTCGCTGGAGTAGTAGTACTCACCAGCCCAATCCAGCGGTTCAACGGGAAGCCGGTTTGCTGTACTACTCTCAAGTATGTCAAGATGACGACATCTATGCAATGTCTCCCCTTCTTCCTGTTCTTCTTCTTCGTCTTCTTCTTGAATGCTTTTCAGTTCTTCGTCTAACTCTTTATCCATCTTTTCTTTCAACTTTCTCTTGGCTTCTTCTTCTTTCTGTTTCTTTTTTAGCTTCTTTCTCTTTCTTTTTCTCTGCCAGCCTGCGGTCGATTTCTGCCTGTTCCGCAGGTGTGGGCCCAGGCTTTACTGTCCCAAATTTCAGTAACATCCGGGATGCACACACGCGTCCGAATCCCAACGGGAACATCAACCGGAACAGTGGACCCAATAGAACAAAGAGGGCCAACAAGCCCTGGATGGGATAGTCGTCCATGGTGATGATCGGCACAGGAGGTCCTCCGCCGGTTCACCACAACACTATCCCACTCAGAATCACTTACTGACTCAGTCTTGATTCGTGGCGAGTGGAGTACCGGATTTTGTTTTTCTCCTTTCTTTCTTTTTGACTGTAGAAGGTGCTGCGCACAATGATTACTCAATCAAAACAATGCTTGCTCTTTCTTTGTATATATCGTCAAATAGAAGTGTCTGGCTGCGCACAGGAGGTCTTTCTTTGTATAAATTTCTTTTTTTTTTTCTTTATGCTGTCTGGCTTCCTGGATCAGACTCTTGCAATGCGTTTCTTGTATCTTGCTTGCTGTACTTCCCCCTCTATGCCTTGTTTGTTGGTCTAACGGGCTGGCCGTTTGGATGCAGGCATGGAGTGATGCACAGAAGTGTCAGATGCAAATGGCACACGTAGTCAACCAGGCAATAATACTTTGCTCAAATTTTTCGTTCTTTCTGGCTTAACTGGCCCTGTAGGTGTTCGTCACCAAACTTACGTTGCCTGGTACTTGCGATCTGACGTGGCATATGGCCGCTACCCACATCGATTCACAGTCTCCTGGTGACGTGACACAGCCTATCTATCAAGAGGGGTAGGAGAGAACTCTAACTCTACCTACAGAACACTGACCCCCAACCTAACGTGATCAGATCCTGACACATTGCATTTGGGACCATCCGGACTCTGACACACTACGATGATCCAGATCCAGTCCTGACTTCCAGTCCAGCAGCAGCCACCTTTAGAGGGGAAGAGAGAGAAGGTAGGGGACACACACATGCATGCAGGTTAAGGGCAGGAGGTGCTTCTCTCTTCTTGAAGATACCGCCGATGATGCTCCACSACGCTCCGCACGCTCCAGGTAAGTACATTCGCCCCTTCTCCTTCGGCCTGCTCCCCTACTAACAAAACACTTCTTCTCCTCCTCCCTTCCTCCACTAATCCTCCATCACCACAYCTTCAACACCCTGTCTTCTCGCCGGCCTTGATGATGCCAGCGCTATGAGTGCAACGAGCATCAAGCTCTGATACCAAATTTGCATGGGTCCTGGGGACCATCTCACGCCTGAGTGTTCACAGCATGCATCATTTCACAATGAACTGAAGTCTTCACACATTAGACAAAGATAGTGGAGAAGAGAACCGAGTTGCGCAGCTTATATTATCAACAATTCCCTGAGTCCAACGCTCATCAGCGTAATGCAAATGTCTCATCCAACTCATCAATGCAGCTCCTACATATCAGCGCCACTTCTGCAGATCATATTCAACTCAGGTAAGTATTCCCCATAGCTGAACCTTGTTTGAACACTCTCTGTCTCAGTCCCTTCTTCCTACGATGCATACACACTCTTTTCTCTCAAAGATCTACTCCGAATGCTACTCATAGATGTCTACTACTAACCCTCTAAATCTATACTAACTCGCTGGGCAGCTATGGCTGCATCTCTTCCCAGCGCCCTGTCTCCCTTCCTCATCTAGCGCATCTTCTTCCTCCAGCGCTGCTGCTCCTGACTGGCGCACAAGTGCTTCAGCACTTCCACGCGCAGAATGCCAGTAGAGATCTGCGTGAAATGAGGCTGGCTGCKGCCTTTATAGTGCTGGCCTCTTCTCGCTGGGTCTGCATTGGCTCATTCAGGCCTTCCTTTGTCCCAGAACCTGCATTGCATGTGTCCCAGTACTGTCCCAATGAAGTCAACTGCTGCTGAGGCCTCTCGGCCTAGATTTGGACTTGGACGTCTGGATCTGGACTGTCCCCTAGACTTAGATCAGAACTGGGACTCTGTTTATTGACTTACTTTCGAACAGGCACAACCTTGGACGAACAGACACACTTACTGCCTGAACAGACACTCACACTGTGTGAATAGACACTCTCCTTTGGCACGAACAGACACACTGACTGCACGTACAGACACACCCTCATCTGAACAGACATGACACTTGCATCTCTTGGCGAATAGGTATATCCTTTTGCAATGCCCTTTGCTTTAGTTTAGGATGTGCCCTTTGATAAGGGATTTGACCTTTGACCTGCTTTCACGTTTCTGGGTCCTGGCGAGATACCCCTTCACGATGCTTTACTTTTACAAGGTTAAAGGCCCTTTTACTCGGCGTGTTCATCATCTCTTACGTACAAGGCCAGCCACATGGATGACATGTTTTGCGCTGGCTACCCCCATCCCCGTGTGTCACAAGGACCCACTTGCACGCAGCCAAAAGGCAAAGAGGTAAAGAAAAGGAGGAGGAAACCAAACCTTACAGAGGCAGGGGAAAAAGAAAGGGATCCAGTCAAAGAAAGGACAAGGGAAGAGGAAGGCCTATCAGTCAAACAAAGCAAATGCCACATCCCACAGATAAACCAATTGCCACTGTCACAACGAAGTTCAACATTTTTTTTATTTTTATTTTTTTTATTATCTTTTTTTTTCTTTTCTTCAGCAATTTGTTCTTGTTTTCTTTTTTTTCTTTTTTTCTTTTTGTTTGTTCATTTTTTTCTTTCTTCTTTCTTCACCTCCATATCTGTTGGTGTCGATAGCTTCATCTGTCCTAAAATTAGTGTTGCTCCTGACCTGCTTGATTCTATTGACCAGTCAGGAAGAGGAGCCCCCACCCTGGCAGATTGGACAGGCACGTTGAGGATGACGTGGATGTTCACAAGGATACCCAAGGAGAGTTGCGTCGGCACAGCATTCAGCAGGATGGCTAGCACGGACCATCCCATCAAAACAGTCCTGACAAAGGACATGCTGTCCACATGTCAAAACAACAGCAAGACGTTCATCACAGTGCGGCATCATGCAGTCCTGATACCGTCCTTGTGCACAAAAGGGACAACGAATACATGGGTGATAGGGATGTGTACAATGAGGAAATGTTGGACACCCTTCGGCAACATATCTATATACAGCGGATGTCCTTGTTCTTCATCAGGATGTTGGTATTCCTATGGGTACAAACGCTGATCCTGAGATTGCTAACCGTACACTATATTGGGACGAGGCGCAGTATGTGCGAGGCCAAGGCCCCGATGAGCCCCTTTTGGCCCTGTTATGCAGCACGTCCGCCGCCCTAAGTGAAGGCAGGCTCGATGAGGGCCTGGGGGCCCCTATCTCAGTCACCACGCAACTGTGGAAAATTCAGGCAGTTGCGCAGCGCCAGTTGGTTGAAGAACACCCAGGCCCAGGCCGCTTGTTTGCATGTATGGAAGGCAGGCCCTGGGCTGGATACCGGATATGGGCCAAACACAGGCCGAGGACAGTTGGGCACAAGTAACCACCACAGGCCCTGGACCTGATTCGTTAGGACTGGGCCTCAGCCTACCGGGGCCTACCGGGGCCTACCGGAAGCTTCTTGGGAAAGGCCCAGCGCAGCCTGGGTCGGGAAGGCAGGCAGGCCACTTCCATATAGCAAAGGGTCTGCCTCCTCGTTTGGCATTCGGGTGCTGGCTGCATGCTGCGCAAGGGCTGCTGCGCTGATGCTGGCTAGCGCTCACGCGCTCATGGGCAAGCTGGAAGGAGCAGGCAGCCATAGCCGCTGCTGGGAGCTGGGTGAGGCGCAGGGTTGTCCTTGGGTGCATGTGGCATCTGTGTGTTGGGGAACGAGGTTGTGAGTGATGCGAGAGACATACCTGGTGCTGGAAGCGTGCGGCATTGGCCGCTATCTGCTCGTACTTCGGGAGAGCTGTTGTCGTCATCTTCGGCATTGTAGTCTAGGCTAGATAGGATCTGCCATCTGTAGTCTGGGCGCCGAGCGCCAGATAGGATATCAACATTGGTTCTTCGTTGATGATGATGATGAGACTATTCCAGCATTGTCAATTATGAGCTTCTGGTGTACTCTTATTTGGTGAAACTCATGATGCATTTTTGCTTTTGGTTCGAGGTCACGACTATCTGGTCTTATGTGTATGATGCTGTTTGATTGCTGAAGTTCACTATTGCTCATCTTCCTTGCAATTTGGTATCAGAGCTGTGGTGCGTTGCGCTCATCTGGCGCTTGTCTTCTGCCTATGCGGTACATACATGCGGTCTGCTTGGTGCGTGAGGCCGTAGGTGGTGTGTAGTGAGGAGGGCGGAGACAAGGTGTTGGCGACCCAGGAGGAGAGGGGAATCGCCAGGAAGGC